GTTGTAAATACATAGACCAAACATTTTCTACAAAATGAGGCTCTCTGCAAGTCGGGGTGATTTTTAATAACCGCACTCCAGAAAACAATCTGAAATAACTGATCCATAACTGATGCTTATCTTGATACATAAAATACTTCTCTTGAACTATTGTTTGCATATCTTGTTTTTCTGTTTTATTTCTGATATCCACAACTCAATGCATGTAATCTATCGTCTGCAGAAACGAGGTCTTCATAGATAATATAAGACTACTGAAACATCCATCTAAATTCATCTCTTAACTCTGTAGTAATAGTACGTAGAGAGTTGAACTCAAAAGAGAGACACTTTTTCATTAAGCAAAAATAAAAAAAGGTCCAACGTAGCATAACTGTATCCAACACCTTTGTAGCATAACTGTATCCAACACCTTTGTAGCGTAACTGTATCCAACACCTTTGTAGCATAACTGTATCCAACACCTTTGTAGCATATCTGTATCCAACACCTTTGTAGCATAACTGTATTCAATCTTTCAATATAATTAGTGAGAAGCAACCAATCTGACATTTTTCATTTTTAGACCCAATTGAACAAATATTGTTTTAATGTTTTACAATAAATTTGACCGTATTGTCAATCTATAATCAAGTTTCAAGATGACTATTTTGTCTTTTATCTAATCTTAGGAGAGTAGTACTTGTGGATAAATTCGTTTTTTTTTAGAAAACACTTTTTTTATATTTTGTGGATGTACTGGTAATTTTATGTCATATAATCCGATCTAAGAATATACATACGATTAAAAAAAGAATACTTTTTCAAAAATCTGAAACATACGTTGTTTCTTTTTCAATCGGCACCAATCTTCTCACTTAGATTTTTGTTTGATGATAATGAAGCGGTTGATCAATCTTTTTTGGTGTGTGTCTACATATTTTCAGATATTTCAGTCAAAAAGTGAAAGGAACAAAGAAGCAACAGGTAAATTTCTATGAAAGTTTCAGCCCTTCAATGTAGTGAGTTTCTCTAGCTATTGAGTTTGCGTATTTTTCAATCTTTTATTAGTCGACACATTTTGATTCACCATATTCATGCAATATTATTATATACAGTCTCTTGAATAATGCCCGATGCCTCGATAGTGTTCTTTTCAGTTGCATAAAGTCCTATCTACTTTATATAGTACTGTTTATAGATATTTTACTTGACGCGTTGTAGATTTTAGATGACTGTATAAAAGTTTCAACGTTAGTCTTGCACTATACTGTGGTGCAACTAATTCATATTTTATGTAAGATAAAACTGAAAAGAGATTAAAAAAAATGCCAACGGGTATAAAATATCTATAAACAATTTATTTAATACAAGAAGAACGAAAATTTAAAAGAAGTACAAATAAATATAGAATAATAACATCAGATTTTCACTCTGGTATGAGTGTGTATAGAAAAATAATTTTTTGTGAATGATCATTGTGGAATGTTCTTACATTCAATCATACGGCAAAAGAGAAAAAAAATAATAACGAATTAATTAATCCTATAATCTTGAATGACGTGAAAAAAAGTACGTGAACAGTGAAAAACTATTTCAATCGAAAGATTACTTCGAATCGAAATTAACTACAACATTGTTCGGGAAATGCGTTTAATTCAGCTTTGTGTGTCATTGAAATACCATTAATTATGTAACTGATATCGACTCGCATTCTTAAACGTTCCTAAAATACAGCAGAAGAAGTGGTGTGCTTATAAATATGAATAAAAGAGTCAAGATTTACCTTATTGGGATTGCTGAGTTTGATAATCTGACGAATGTTTCCACTATTATTCGGAGGTATGTCTGTACCCGAAGGAGAGAGTAGCTCGAGATTAAATGTCTACAAGGTAAGAACAATGATGCAAGTATCAGTATGAAAAGAGAGCGACGTATTGTCTACTTTTGGAACAGCTGCTTTGAACAAAAAAGATGAAATGGGAGATGATGTTGCGTTTGATGCTCGTAAAGTTATTGTTATATTTGGATCGTTTCGTTCAAAACTAAATATCACTTGTAAACCATTTTTGTCAATAACAGTCATATTTGGAATTGTACTGTTCACTGGAAAAAAAATAAGAAAATGATGTCTGAATATATGCATCATTGTGAGAGGATCATATCTGGCAGAAGAAAATGTTCCCATGCTCATTTATCCGACAAATTTGTGACATATCATTGAAGTAGTATTCACCAATTAATGATTAGTAGTCTGAGTCAAAGCTACATATTAATGTTTCGGCAAGAGGGCCCACAGTGACGGCTTATCTCAAGATCTTGATGTATATAAACCTATGAATGTTCAACGTATTACTTTTCTAGCGTTATAGTGGTTAACCTGGAAACATTCGGAAGTTTCACTATTGTGACGAAACTTAACAGCAAAATATAAGATCTATATCTCTGTGCTTTAGTCAGTGAGCTTTAAGCTAAATTAAGAAAAAAGAATACTAGACGACAGTCTGTTTAACTGAGAAAAAGAATGACTTAGAGAAAAACTTAAAATTATAGCTATTTATAAAAATTTCATATGCGGATAGTTGTGGAGCAAGACAAATATGAAATTATATGACAGCGCGTGGTGAGTATTTTTTGTGTAACTAATTGATACCAACGTTTAGCAAAGAATCAGCCGGATCGAAACATTACATTGTATGAGTAGTCAGCAGCTTTACCTTCCACAGACTTCGCATATTTTCGCAGACCTTTACGAAACTGAAACTACATTAATGTGCTAGTTTCTTACCATTGGCAGAATGATTTTTAACTTGAGGGGTGGATTGTGTTCCACCAAATAGCAAATCTTCTAATGGGTATGTTGCTGAAGGCGTTGCGCTATTGTTATTAAATAATCCTAAAATATTGTTATCGTTCGATACTCCATTCGTTACTGTTGGTTGAATCTCGTCCAGTAGTTTGAGAAGATTTTCCTGGAAGTAAAAAGACAATAAAATTCATTCTGTGTACTAACAATATTTCTTCTTACTTCTGTTGGTGGTTTAGGATTCACTGTTAGAGTTTCTGTTATTGGAGATGTTTGATTATTATCTCCATTCGATTGCTGCTGCTGCTGGTGATGATCTTCGTTAACAGAATTTGGAATTTGATTATTAACTAATACAGGCATACGTTCCACAATACTTGGCCTAATATGAAATCAAGATTTATCTAATTTTCTCTGCCATGACTCTTCTCTTACCTTAGAGAATTGTGTACTGTAAATAAAGAGGTATATTCAACAGCACGTGTTTGTAGTTCTAAATTCATATTACAGGAATAAATGGTCATGATAGTCTGTATTCGACTAGAAATAAGAATGAAAATAACAACAAAGAAAGATTGTTCATCAATTAACTTACTCGGAACAAACTGGAAAACGTGTACTTAATTTCATGAGAGCATTGATCGCATATTCACGCGTGACAATTGTACTTGGTGTCCAACTGAGAACTTTCTCTAATACAGTTACAATATCGTCTCCACTTGCCTAGAGGAAATATTCGATTACTTAACAATTATTAGACAATAAGCGCAGGCGTACATGAACAGTGTCATCATTAGTTTCCAGTTGGCCAGATACAAATAAATCGCCATATTCGCCTAAAGTATTAAACGATAAGAAGTGTATGTTTTTCTTTATTTATCTTTTACATACCTAATGACCACGAGGCAACTTGAACGAGTGGTTGCTGAGTAATATCATGATGAATTAGTTTATATAACTGTTGTGCTGTGTACCCATGTAAATCGGGCGAACAAGATATGATGCCAATTAAACTTGAAACAATATCATCGCGTACAGAATTGCCAGCCTGCAATAACTGAATTCAATTTAACATGAATAAGGAGAAGAGTCAACTGACCGTCGTTAAAACTCTCATCATTTGATCTACATGCCATCGCTTAGAGGGAGCAAATCTAAAATAAAATATTGATATAAGTGACGATAAATCTAACTCAATTGTCCCATTATCTTTTGCCTAAAAACAGTTTTTTACTCACTCGTCAGTAATAACTTAATCTTTAGAAAGCAAACCTTTTCCCTATGTCTCACTTGCACTGCTCTCCAACCTGATCGTGTCAAAAGTTCAGTATGAATCTCCGAAGACATGATTTTTGGAAAATAGGACAAGAAGCTTCATCGGGAGTAATGAAATATGACGTTCATAACCAATATCAAAAACTACTGCTAAAAAGTTATTTTAAAGGACAATAAGCACTCAGAATTCAGTGGTATTTACCGTTCCATGGCAAGAAACATGTTTGACGTGCAATCAGCTTTAAAATCTATTTCACAAATTGCTAAGAACCCAATCATTTCATTTATCATCATGCGAATATTATTTGAATTGGTTAATGCAAAACATAGTTCCATTGCTCGTCTAAAACAGCCAACGACAGACGTAGCATCCCAAGAGGAATATGAAATTATTATACCTTTTAATGGAAACATCAGCATCTTTGAGGCATTCAACAATGGTTGTACGATGTCGTTGAACAGCATTGTAATCAGCGTGGACAACGCGCAATAGGGTATTTAATGCAACATATCTGCAAAAGAGCCAAATTGACACATGTTTTTTTCTCAGCAAATAATTACCGTATGTTTTTATCGTTATTCAAAAGAAACCTGCCCAATATGTTGACGGCTAATACCTACAAGAAATACAGGCAGTTAACATAAAAAAAAGTTATCAGAGATGTCTTTAAAGATCCAGACAGATGCAAATCTGATACCTGCAAACTATAGGTGGAAGAAATGCTAAACAAAACTATATGCCGGTAGTCGCATTGACTTTTCCAAAAGGTTGATACATTGAAAGAGTGAAATTTCGTCTTTTCTGAGAGATCATATGCGCTCACATATGATAATTCCTCCACTTTTGGTTAATCTTTTCTTTACATTCTGTTTGATTTCATTCGACTACCAAAGACAGTGTACATCTTTCCAAAAGGACTTTAAGCCTAGTGAAGACTTCATAAGTACTGATTACATAATACAGATCCCTTAAAACTATCGGATACTTCGTAGAAGATTTCGGTTCTTCTTGTAGAGTGCTTCAGATCGGCAAATTAGGTTTCTTTATTAGGATTGCTAAGTTTGATAATCTGACGAAAGTCTTTTATTTTAGATTCTTTTAAAGGAGAGTTGAGAGACAAACTGAACCAAAGTCACTAGATTTCAACTATAAAACCCCACTTACTATATTGTTGACAAAATAGTTGCAGAGGAGTTTACAAAATGAAATGAAAAACAGGTATATTATCTTACACGAAGACCGGACTCGGATTTGATATTCATAATCGTTAGAACTGCTTCGTACAAAATAGCATTGCCAACATTTTTACTGTTTTCAGTGTTTGTAGCCACCTTAAATAAAGAGTGTACAATAATTAATCACATTACAAAGTGGATGAACACGCATACTTGCGTAAGAATATCATTCAATGCCTCACTCGCTTCGACATCATTTTTGGCTACGATTCGCATTAACTGTAACAGACGAACCTAAACATAGAAATTAATATAATTTTCGTAAAAGCCTTATTGTATTCTTCACTTACTTGTAAAAATGGATCACTTATTCCTGAAACATCATGATCAGGACTGTAGCCAGACATAATCAAATTTTTCAATATGCGAACAAGATTTGGTACCAACTAAAATGAGAGAAAAAAAAGGGATTGATTCGATAGAAATTAGTTGACTTACTTTTCTAAAATGTTGTACGCCATCGGTATTTTTATGGCACATTTCTATGACGAGAGTAATCACACTTAATATCACACCTTGAATAAAGAAAAATGTCAAATTATTCTTTCTAGTTCAAAAAGTAAATATCTACCATGATTTTTTTCACTTAAAAGACTTCTAGCGGACGGTAAAAACATATCCATCAATTCGGGTACTTTTCTAATTATTCGTGCAGCACACAAAACAGCCTAAAATAGTTTATTAAGTGAAGGTTTAGGTGTTACTTCTCTTCTTTTGGTTTAGCGCAATATAAGCAAGAAAACTACAAAAAAAGCTAGAGCCTATATGTAACAAAATACCAGATAAAAAAGAGCATAATAAGACACAACGTACACAAATATGGCACAAGAAAAATAATTTCGCTGTATATAGATTTCTAAACTTCTATATCAATTCTTTCCTCTTCCCACAAAAAACGATAACTTTTATCAATAGCATTATTTTGGGATAAGCTCATGATCAACGCACACACCATCTCTATCGCTTTCTGTCATACGAGCATTTTTTTCCAAGCAAATTTACTACAAGTTTCAAATCAACATCTTTATATATGTTTTTTCCTGGATACCTCTTATGTAATTGAACTTTTTCTAAAAGCTTAGATTTGTAGAGTAAATCATTCTGTTCAAATTGAGACAAGGCATAGTTTTGTATAATATTGCTCGTAAAAGTTTCAAGCATTTTTCTGTGAGCCCGAAACGACAACATCAGACTCAACTTTTTCATTCATGACTGTTTGTATTTTGTAAGATTCTCCATTTAGGAAGATGCTAAAGGGTTCAAGATGCTTTCAAAATGAAGCTAACACCTATGACTATAGTACACAAGAGTCCAATTTTCAGTCGAGGTTTTGATAAAGCAAAGGATTTCAGGGGTTATGGCTTTTGAATTTCTGACTTGTAATGTCTCCAAAAGGTAATAGAATAAAAACTCCAAAACGGGTCATAAGTATACCAGCGATCTCTACTATCTATCTGGATGAAGAATTTTGCGAATTTCCTATCAGGAAATCGATAGAGAAAATCTGACGCATCGGCTGGTACCAAAAAAATTTCCTAAACGTGACATAATGATGTGCACTGGGGCCAACTGTTCGAAACATTGGGAGTATTGCAAAACTAAGAAAATTTTAATCGTTCCAGTTGAAAAGTATGTCCGTTATTCTATATATACAGAGCTAGACAAGTTAGTCAATTGAAAAATGACTTGAGTTGTACAGCTTTGATTCTTCAATACCGAAGAGACGTAAGAACAAATAAAACTTTTATTAGCTCGTCATCGTCGTATAGTCATGCGACTGTAAATCAGGTGAGCCAAACACTAAGGCGAGATGTTTGTTGTTAATCTCATAAAAATCAAGCTTGTGCAGGATCACCCTCCCCCTCCACACACACACAGTAAAGCGTTGGGCGGACTTGGAAGTCACAGCGGGTGATAAATCGGTTTGTCGAAGATTTGAGCAGCAGAAGTCTCATGTTTTGTATAGATGAAGCCTTATGAATCTTAAGACATTCTCAAACATTCTAGTTCATAGCTTCGAGCATTTTTTCACAATACTAGACAATTTTCCTTATATAATGTTCCCATTTCAGACCGTATGACAAATGGACATTCGGTAACCTGGGAGATACTGCGAACAACGTACAAAAGATGGTGAGCCACTGTCTAAAATATGGCTCCAAGCGAAAAATGGATGACTAGAAAAGCGGCATGGGAGATAGGAAAAAGAGCCAATACGCACTTATCAGGATTCTCAAACTACCTTCTTTTTTATATAAGGATTAGTTGATTTCATCAATTTTTCAACTTCACCAGCCAAATCTCTGCTCATTTCTGGCGAACAAATAGCACCTAAAATTCATCAGAACTACAAATGACGTAAGAACGATGCATACAACGGTTTACCAAGTGCACATAATGCCAGTCCAACAATGTATTGATTCGTATGACCAAGATCACTAGAAGATGACAGATAGAAAAAGTAGATTTCGCTCAAGTTGTTTCTCAAAACTATTATACTTTTTTAAAGAGTTTGTTATTAACACATGAATATCTTGTCTTTCATCTAAGAGAAGCATCGCGCCCAAATACCCAATACGCTTATCAGTAAATGAAGTAGAAGCAATCAGTTTAAGACATTCGAGCTATAAAGTAGAACTAGCACTAAAATAACGCTAAAAAATTGAAGGTAAGTGCAACCTGTCCATAATGTGCACTGTAACCAAGCATTTGAATATAAAGCAATTTGGCTACATTTCGACAACGCCACGTAGTGTCTTCGTCACGGAATGCATCTCGGATCAGAGCACTTTCTTTCTGAACGAAAGCTCTTTCTTCGGCTGCTGTTTTAGCCGAACGAATTTGTCTTATCAAGTCGCGTAAACGTATCGGTTTATTTATAGATAAATCAGGAAACTTCATTATTTGGTATAATATGAATGTTTTATTGTACGTATATTCGATGATCCATCTACATCGTTATGTCATTACCGTACCAGACTAATTGATGAAAAAAATAGACTCAACTATGGTACTTCTACAGATCGATCGATCACACCCCTACAGAACAGGGGAAAAAGTTATTGGTTGAAAGGTATATTATTATGAACGCGAAAAATAGATGGCTCTGGTAATAGGAGCTATAATAGATAAGACTAAAAGATCCAATACATAAGGATCAGTTAGGATGATGAAATAAAGCGAGACATAATTTGTTCACGAATTAATTGAATTATGATTTGAGCACCTAGAGAAATGATATAAATAGTATAATGAGGGAAGACCACAGTACATTCGTTAAAAATGTGTATTTTTCCGTTACCGCATGTTGATAGGATAACATAGCGTGACTGAAACAGAGTTCCTTACGTCAGAAGATTCGATATCCCAAGCACACAAAAAAACCGCTGACCGCGCGGTTGTCGGCGACCCAAGCGGTCATGAGTGCCGGTTGTCGGCGGCCCAAGCGGCCATTAGCATCAGTTGTCGGCGGTTCAGCCGTCACAAGTAGCGATTGTCGACGGCTCAAGCGGCCATGAGTACCGGTTATCGGCGGCCTAAATTTATAAAAAAAAGCACAGAAAATCGCCTAAAAGAGCGGCTACAAGGGATGTAAAAAACCGCTTGAGTCACCCGCATTTGTGTGAAAATAACCGCTTTGCCCGCTCAAAACCGCGGCCAGTGGCCGCCTACACTATTTTTGGTACTGTTCGGAAAACTGCCTGGAATCGCCGTTTTTTATAAAAAACCAGATGCGGTTTTCTCCAATGCAGTATTCATCTAAAAACCGCTCGAGACATCAGAATTTGTGGCATACTAGCCGCTTTGGCAGCTAAAAGCTGCGGTCATCAACAGCTTACACTACAGTTTGATGGAAAAAACTGCCTAGAACCGCGATTTTTGGGCCAGAAAAAGCGGCCAGACTCATCGTTGTTTGGTAAAACAGTTCCTGAGGTAGTAATCATATAAGAAACTGCGTGAGATCTCAAGAAACTCAACATACCCAAGCGCCAAGTCGTCATCGAATCATTTGATGATCATTCAGTTTTCAGAAAAATCATCGACAATCATTTATACGTGTCGATTTGCCTATGCATCGCTATAGCGCCACCTGAAACAACAAAAATTTTCTGGGAAACCTCAGCCCAAGAGGAAATTGCGTTACTTTACTTTATTTCAACTCCAGTAATGAAGTGAAGCGGAGTGTAAAGGAAAAAAAATTGTTTTTTTTATGAGATTTTTTTGAATGAGAAAAAACATACATGGAATTTGGCATAGAGATTATGGATCTGGTTTTATTTCAGCTTAATTAGTGCTCTTTGCTTGATAATTAGCACCACTAATTAGTAAACTCATTAGTAGAACTATCACCTTATTTGAAGTTAAAAACGCACATATGCGTCATGTTGAAAAACCGATGAGGGTTTGGATGAAAGAAAATAAATGCTGCCAGTGACACGAATACAAAAGATTCTAAGGTCTTTTTAGACCTACAACATATAACTAAGGCTATAAGAGTATGAAAACAAACGAAAATTACGATGACGGAAAAAGATAACAAGGTTGCGGTCTGTTTCTTTTTTCTCTACGTCTATCGCTATGAGCGCTGTATTTGAATGATCAGAAATATTAGAAAAGCAAAAGAAGCATTAAATGCACTATTTCAATCTGCTCTATTGTAGTATAATATATCGAAGAAAATCAATAATTGAAGAAAAGCAATTCTTTGACTCTTTAATCATGGATAAAATAATAAATGAGCTCTGAAAAAAGAGATATTTGAGCTCGGTGTGCTTAGTTGGCTTTAAAATGAGAGAAATGAGCTCGGTAAATAATCCATGAAAATTAATTAATGCTTTTGTCAGTAGCAAAGTATACCTAGTAAGAAAAAAATAATTCAACAAGAAAATAAATGCTAGATTACAATAGTTATTTAGTAATATTTAGTCTTTTGTTAAAGCTAATTTAACTTTCTTTGAACGATCTTTTCCCCGTCTTATCTCAAGTGGCTGTCGAACTTTACGATGATTCCACATCATCATTAAGCCCAATGAATGAACGCAAGAATATCCCTTAAAGTCATATTTACAAGAACAAAATAAAGGAATTAAACGAGAAAATTTGGTAGAAGGACTAAGATTTGCACTACATTTATACCAAAATTATTATGATAACAACCACTAGTCTTCAAAATACGATGTGAGATCATCATAAAGTTCGACAGCCACTTGAGATAAGACGGGGAAAAGATCGTTCAAAGAAAGTTAAATTAGCTTTAACAAAAGACTAAATATTACTAAATAACTATTGTAATCTAGCATTTATTTT